GATCCCTTCTTCTTATTCTTCTTCTTCTTATTATTATTATTATTATTATTTTCTCTTCCTCCTTCTAGGACCAAGCACCTCGCGAGACAAGTTCCAGACTAGCGATGAGTCTCTTCTCAAACTAGCTTATACTTAAGAGTTACTTTCTTTAATACACTAAAACTAAAGACGGTACACATATATCTATTTAATACCATCGTAATTGGATCGAACAATCAAGCTTTTAAACAAAGTTTTATTCTTTTTTACAATCGCGATTACAGATAGAGGATAATTTTTTATTGACTTAAACAATACGTATAGTTTTTTGAGCATTGATCACGGTTAGTTGTGAAATGTAACCAATACAGTTTAGAATAAATGAAGTATGTACTAATATCAAATATATTTTCTTGTTTCTTGCGAAATTGATTTCATATTGTAAAGTAGTAGAATGAAACAGAACGGTGTGTAATTTCTGAATAATCTCTGAAATCAAACTAAATCGCTTTATAATAAAAACACGCAGAAAGCAGTAGAGCACTTGTTAAAAAAGATATAAATGTCCTGATTTTAAAATGAAAAACAAATCATTAATTTACTTTAGTATCAATCGGATACATTGAATTCTAAATCTATCATAAAAAGCAAATAATAAGTGATACTGTATAATACATTAAATTCGATCACTTATATTATATAAATATATTCGAGTTTTTTGAGACTTTATTTTCCAAGTTCGAGATATGCATATCGAGCGAATTTTTCTTTCTTGTAAGAAAAAATAAATACGAAAGATCCGATCGGAAACATACGGCAATGCATAGCTATTTCGAGATCTTATAGGTATATGCCCTTTCGTGGTTTAACGCCAATGGTGACTTCTCTGAAGGAACATTGTCCTGTCGAGTCGATTCTACAATGCCATTTCCATTTCCATTCTCACGAGGAGTCTGCCGACAAACGACAATCTCGAATCCTATCGATCCTCTTGACTTCTCCAACGCGTTCACGCAAACTCGATGGGTCCTCGCATGCGAATTCCCAAAACGGGAGAAAGTCAGTACGGGAAGGGAGACTGCCATGCGTGTCGAGGGGAAGCGAATGGTAGACATACAGAAGAAGAAGAAGAAGAAGAATAAGTAAAAAGAAGAAAAGTCTCGAGGATTTCGTACAAGGCTCTGCTTTCAAGCCAGGTCGTTGAGGTCGCCCGATTGTCCTTCGCTTTGATATCCCAGCTCTTTCTTCCTTTCATCTTTAATTCTTTTTTAAGGTTTACTTTTTCGTCGCCAAATTTACGTCTTTCAAATAGTTTCGCTCAGATTCACGATTTTAGAATCATTTTATTCGGTGTCATATAGATATCTTTAATTTTTCCATGCTAAAATTTGTAATAAAATATCACGAGTAAAATCATTCCGTGACCATAAATTTTATTTGACGTATATACAGTTGTATAATTACAAAACTTTACATTATTATTAGCTTATGAGAGAAATTGGACACCTTTCAACTTTTTAACCTGATTGGAAATAAAACTTATTACATTCGTGGTGCTCGTAACTGTACGTGCTAACATTAAATCGAACTTTTAAAAAAAAGAACAAAGAAGAAAAAAGAATAACCCTAAACGAGTGGCATGATTTACAAGTTCCTTCGTGCATACAGAGTTTACTGTTACACAAATCGATCTTGAATACAGGGAAAGTATTATTAGAAAGAGTTTTATAAAAACACACCGTAAGATCACCATCCGAAAATACTTTTGTTTCGTTAGAAGAAAAAGACCAAGCTGTTAGTATTATTCGAACGTACTCGGAAGCTGTTTTCTGTCGAGTTTCTCCTTCGTCAAGTCGTTTGCCCTTTAAACGCGACCTTTCTCTCGGAAGCAATTAATAGAAGGTAATTATCGTGGTAGCTAGCTCGTCGTTCGTGTTTGTCCGATGCACGCGCGGTGCGAAACGCACGTTGTATGTTCGAGGAAGAAGCAGAAGAAGAAGAAAAAGAAGAAGAAAAGGAAGAAGAAGAAAAAGAAGAAGAAAAGGAAGAAGAAGAAAAAGAAGAAGAAGAAAAAGATGAAAACAAGGAAGAGGTAGTAGAAGGCTAAGTTCAGAGTTTGAAATCTGTCATTACAGAAGAAGCGGTGCAACTCTTGTTTATTACCTATTGCGTTTCTGTCCCGTTCATGCGACTTTTTCTTTTAAGCTTGTTCAGACGAAACAAAAATTCTATCGGAAAAATTTCAATCATCTATTTGTCAGTAATATTAATGATAGACATCTTGTAAAATAAATGAAATAATATATGTAAGCATTTATTTTTCTTCGTTCCACGCTACAATCTCACACACACTCATACCATCACACATGCACTCCTTTGTGGAAAACTTAAGCACTATGGTCACACACTTCTAAGATATTCTGTATCTCCACATAATATAAATATGTTGAAAAATATATTGATCCAATAAATAGCAATCTTTATATTGTATTATAGAATTTCTTTTCTCATCACACGATTTAGAAGAATCAATCAAAGCCGTGTATTTCATGAATTTTGATTACTTCGATTATTGAAAATATCGAATCATAATTTAATCGTCACTATAGCCTTTCCTCTTTGTAACGGCTTTGTTCTTTGAAAAGACGCTATTATTTTCTCGAAAGAGAGAACAAATCAAGTTCGTCGGATTCGCTATGCATCGGATAACGATTTTCGTAGAGTACCATCGATGGACGTCACGTACTCCGTGACGAGAATAGTGTGCGGGCGTTAAGGGTATATTGTTTTAACGTGCTGGATCGTGCGTCTCTCAAAAGGTTTGGCACGATCGATTATGCGACTCGCGTACCTATTGTACTTCCGATCTTTAAAAGAAACGTCCGTTCTTTCCACAGATTCTATACTTTCATTTATTTTACCACGTGCCACGGATTAACGTTATTGTCGAACGATAAAAGACGATTTATGAATTATTTACTAAACTCCCTCTCATCCTTGAAATTAAACGATCTTACTTTCGATCCTCGAATTTTAAACAGAAAACTAAACGAAACCGTAAATAAGAAAAGTGTAGAGAATTTAAGAATAAGAAACGACAGAGCTCGTTCACATTCTAAAATAAGTAGATAATTCTAGTAGAATAGGAGACAAACGGAAAAATTGACACAGAAAATTACGCTTCAGAATAGGAAGCATGACGACGTTTTCCTGTGTATAAAAAATGACGATAATACAAAACGACGAATTATGGTATTTACAGTCTCTTATCTCTCTCTTTCTCTTTGCCTTTCTCCTTATCTAAACGTCTGTTAAGTAAATCAATTCACAAAGAGAGTCATAGATATTTCAATATAATTATTTTCGAAAAGATCCTCATAACGGACTCGTTTATATTTCAAGATGAAAAACACATTTATTTAATTCCCACCTCGGTGTCCTTGAAATCCATCAAACAGTTCGATTGCACTTTTGCTTAAGTAGAAAAGACAAACGAAATCGAAAGAATGACGTACCCGTTATGGAAGCAATTATCGTGCCGCCAACTGAAAGGCCGTTCATATGCGCTCACTCGCGAGAACTTTCGAAGAAACGTAGGGCATGTACCGCTTGCAGCCGGATTTACAAGATTTTTCGTAGGCTTTTTTCTACCATCTCTACTGGTCCAAACACTCAGGGTAGGGGGAGAAGTTCAACAGATTACGAGAATTGCTACTACGGTGCGTATATACCGACATCGTGCTGTAGAGATTGTCGAGAAAATGCATCAAAGTGAATAAGGGCTGTGGTACATCAGACAGACCGCCGTGCCGTCTACGAATGGATGGGGATACGTGACTCCGAGAAGAGTACAAATCTTTCTACGCTAGAAGATTGTTTTTCGCAATACTACTATTTCGGGGGAATACAAACACAATGGGGAAAGAGATGAAACACGTGGCCCGCGAGTTTTGTTTGAATTTGTAAGATTAAATCATCATCGAGATTTCACTATTGACGATTGATCAATTTCATCTAATGTAAGATTTTCATCATTTTTTTGTATCATTTCCTATAACTTTCCAGCAGAGTTTTGCTTCTAAAATATCAACATTGACGGGACTCTGGCTGTTGCTTATTTTCGATTCCTGAAATAGAAATGGAGTCGACTACCGAGAAGCAAAGTTTAGTTCTATTCCTTGTGTAAAGTTGAATTTTCCTCTTTGAGAATCGTCTAGGGTTGCGAAATTTTTGCTAAACGTAAAGAATCATGGGTCCGATAACTTTCTCGTAAGAGAAAATGAATATTTATTATTATTCTCAACTCTTGCGAATAACTCTTGCGAATAACTCTTGCGAATAACTCGCACGTGTTCCTTCACCTTCTTTCTCTCTCTTTCTCTCTCTCTCTCTTTTTCTTCCCTCTTTCAACAACTGCGATTCCCTGTAAGGAGTTTTCCTGAGAAGCCAGAAATAAGGCCGGATTCTTCCAGTTTATTTTTCCTTGTCCTTGCGAGAAAGCTTCGCTTCCGTCGCACAAAGTCTGGATACTTGCGCGCTGATGTGTATCGTTTTATATACGTGGAATTATTTGGTTTAACAAAACCACATACATCGTTTTATGTACTTTCTATCCTGTTTATCCAATAATAAATATTTCTTAAATTAAGTTTTCTATTTATTGAGTCAGTATGTTCAAATATTTTTGTATAATATTTCAAATTAATGATTGACACTTATCAAAAACAAAAACTCTATTTGCAAGCTTGGTACAACCCGGCTACTATTAAAAATACTGATTATTTATTGAAAATATTGAAAAATTATTATTTATACCCAATCAAATATTCGATTATTTATTCTACATAATACTGACTAAGTAAATAGAAGTACGAAATGATTTGCCGTAAAAAAATGAGACTACGAAAAATGAGTATTACGATTTCTGCACGTTTTAAAATAATCGATATTACGAACGAAATTGATTTTCTTATTTTGCAAAATTCGCTTCCTCAGATATTTGAAGTAAAATAATTACTCACCATAATCGGACCTCCGTCTATATTTGAGGCAGAAACCGTCGCTCCAAACCACTGAAGCGTTTTGTTATCGATCTGACTCAGACCATTAGGTTCCGAGGGAGCTCTAACGTGGTTGTTTCCTAAAAAACAAGGATAAGAGAACGTTACGTCATCGGTCTAAATTTTCTACGAATTTAATATTGATTCACACCGGAAATATTCCTTTAAAGGTATGTTGTCAAGAAAATGAAAGGAAGGATACGAAAAATATGAGTTTTAGATACATTTACACCTGATAATAATCCTTTGGTAGTAAGTATTAATTAAAATCTAAGACTTTACGATAGTAGAAACACGCGATACTACCGATTCGAATGATTCATTTCGCGTGTGGTTTTAATTTCCAAGAAATATAGAATAAATATTGCATTCGAATACGTACAATACACTTGTGACGTCTCTTTTTTGATTCTGACGACCATACGAAGCCGTTAGCCTCATCGGTCGGAATTGGTCCTTAAAGGGAAGTTGTCAGTCTTCCAGCTTTACCGGCTACAATACTCGCGTGACCACATCGTACGCGAGGAACTCACGATATCAAGGTGAAATAATAAATGATTGATCGATCGCTTTCATTTAATGTACTATTACTTTTGTGTTTCTTAATTTGCTCGTTAATTAATAATATTAATATCTATCAATTTAGTCATAATTTATTATTTATCATGCTAATAACGTTAACGTTAACGATGAAAAAATAAATAATTAAATCTTCATGAAATATAAATAAACAAGAATACGCGATTCAAAATAGAAATAATATGAAATAGTTAATAAAAAATATTTACAAAGAAATTCTATTGAAAACGCGTTTCGATCGTATAAAACTTTATTTGTCGAATGTAAGATCAATTAGCCAAGGATTAGGAAGGCTTGTGCCCTTCGGAGGAAGGTCTACCAGGTGGTACCTGACAAGAAGTGTCAAACGTTCGGGTAGGCAGGGCGTTCGTAAGGGCTCGTCTTACGGTTTTCTGTATTAGGCAGGGTCGACTTCTTGTCGTGAAGTACGGATTCTCGGTATCTTGTGAGGTTATCCTCAGAGCGCGTGTACAACGAGATAGAACTCTCTCTATAAAAGAAGAGAGTTTACTTAAGCCTGTTGATCCCCTTTACAAAGTTCTTCTTTCAGAAAATCGTTCTCAGTACAGTCAATACATCGACTTTTAGTTAGGTTTACTCAAAGACTCTCCTCGAAAGACTCTCCTCGAAAGACTCTCCTCGAAAGACTCTCCTCGAAAGATTGCTTTCTCGTACGCACACTGAGTCGGAGATATATTGTACAATCCTAGATCGGGAACGATCGTTTGGCACTTGGACGCGTTGGAACTCGCAGGTGGATCGACCGGATGATCACTTCGAATAAGGATCGATTACGACCTCACTCGAGATCGGCAGGAATCACTATTCGAATTTCTTCTTTATTCTTATCTAACTATCCACCGATATACAACTATTATATATTTCTCAACATTATACGAAAAAACTTGTAAGATTACGCGAATTTATATTTTATTTAAATTCATAATTAAAATAAATAATCCGCAATAAATCTTTACGTTAAAATCAAGAACGACAGCCGAGAACGCTATTACATACGCTATTGCGCTAATTAATAAATAATTGAATTTACAAGAAGATAAGAACATATATATGTGGGATGGGGAAATTAGACAAAGGAAATACGAAATAAAACAATGTATAGTTGGTCGGACCGTTGGGATGTAACGGCGTGCAGCGGTACGTTGCTATGCGAATAAACAGTTGAAAAAGAACAAAGATCTGAAAGTTAGTCATCGTTTAGCCATCAAGCAGCGGACATCTATTATTGTATTGTATTTTATCAGATTAAATTGCATTTACATTGAAATGGTCTATTCATCTTTACGAACAATTTATTATTAACACCAGTATGCCTACTCTTTAATATTCAGATATTCGTAAAAAGACTGATGAGAAGAAAGGAATCCTACATATATATATAAAAAAAAAGCAAATTTTGAAAGTTTTTTTCTCAAAATTAGCTGGTCAGTTTACGGAAATATTTTACCACGAGAATATCTTAAAGGTGTATTAATAATATACCAAAGCTCGTGAAAATTCGTTGGTGTACAATCGTAATATCTCCTTGTAAATCATTCAATATTACGTTATCTGTATTTATAGGTGTCACGTATTGCTTGTTTGCATTCATTAGGTCATATCGTCATCATCAGCTTTTATGCACACACATACATCCGCGATCTATTTTTGAGTACGCATCTTGTTTGTACCGTCTCGACGGCACCACAAATCGGACTAGTCCTATAGTATTTTATTATTTTAAGATTGTTCCTTTTACATATGGTTATACTTTTAAACAATTTTATTGAGTTTAAAGGAAAATTAGATTCACAACTTTTGATCCGAATCTTCAAGTTGTCGCGACAAAATAGAAAAAATCTTTGAACGCGATCCTCGTTGGATTAAAAAATCGAACCTTAAACGAGACTGATTACCGTTTATAGCCAATTATTTTTAATGCAATAAACCAAGCCTAATAAGTTGTTGTATTTTTTCATGTATTACCAAAATGCTTTCTACTTTTGAAAATTATTTTATGCTCCAAATATGTACGTAATATTAAATATCAATATATAAAATCGATCGGTACAAATTGGACAAATCTCTCCTCTAAAGATAAGAAAAAAAAAATAAATAAGAAAAATCCTATCGAATAAAAAAGAAAAGAAAAGAAAAAAAAGTATGGTTCTCGTAGAGTCATCGAAACGTTACGGTAAATCGCATATCCCGAAAGATAGTTCGATTGTTTCGTGTTTTGTTCCGTGCAATGTTCGAGATAACTCGATATCGATGAACGAGCAGGTAGAAGGATTTTCGAGCCGGTCGCGATTACTTTCGCGCCAGCAAATTATGGCCGAGATTATCGTACCGAGTTATGGCCTGCTGATCATAGAGAGATACGCTCGTTACGAGGTGTGCAAGCGTACTTACATACATCTAATTCGCACCGGACTTGATTCCTCTAATTTACATCGAGCTGTAATACCGTGTTCATTGCCAAGCTTAAAATTAAATTCTACATTGAAATGTTTTTTTATTTATCTCTTTGAACAACCACAAAAATCTTATATATCTGTAACCAGCTAACAATAAGGATCATTCTTTTGGAATTTATTTTCATTCTAACGATCGATCAATCGAGATGATTGATATGATTGATTATTCGTTTGAAACAAACGATGAGATTATCTGGAGCGGAAGGTCTTCGAAAAATGAAAGGGTCAAGGGAGGAGGGTATGTGGAGTCTTCTAAGAATAGAATGTTCTATAGTCAGTGTTCTGGTTATTTCACCGTCTTTCTCCCTTTCTTACTCCCTTTCTTACTCCCTTTCTTACTCCCTTTCTTACTCCCTTTCTTACTACCTTTCTTACTACCTTTCTTACTACCTTTTTTATTACCTTTCTCTTTCACTTCTCTTTTCCGAGATTACGAAGCTACTTTGAAACTCAAGTAAATGAAAATGTGGGTCAGCGACTGCGAACATGTAAATAGAAACTAGAGGTAGGGAGGAGTTTTATTAGCGTACACCTACAAGAATGCATCTCTCCGAGTATCAGACAAGTGCTCTGAAAGAGTTGAAATAAAGGAAAGAGAGAGATAGAAAATAAAAGAAAAGAAAAGAAATAGAAAAACCTAAAGGGAAGAAGATATCGAATTAAGTCTTGAGACACGTCAGGGTTGCGAAGACTTAGTTAGCAACTCCACGAGTATTCGCTACTCTTACTACTTGAATTACAGACAATTCTATTGTCCGTCTTCACCGTTAGTCGCGGTTTTCAACGTAACAATTTAAAGGTGCGCAAAGCAAAAGAAGAAGATACAAACTTCTACATACATATACTTATGTATTATTATTATTATTATTATATATGTATATACGTATGTGTAAATATATTTCTGACGAAGAAATTATACAAAACCGGTCCTGTCGCGATTGATTCTCGATCGTCGATCCAGAATCAACAACTTGCCATCTCGACGGCTTTGGTATCGATTTTCTTTCAAGAGATCGACGATAAAATTTCGTGAGTGACACGAGTATTGGACATGATTGCAAGTCGTACCTACGTTACTGTCGCCAATGATCTTACCTGTATCGTCGAAGTGGATAATGTCGCATCTGTTGTCGGTCGCAATGTCGCATCTGTAAACCGCGCCACCCCTGTAGATACCTGTTTGCGATGTATCGGCCTCCGGAGCTCCTACAATCGCCCTGAAAACAATAAACTAATTATTTCTAGTTTCATTATTTCTAGTTTCATTATTTCTGGCATCATATTCTTACTAATAGAACGAATTGCTGACAATATTTTTTCATGTCTTTTCTTTATTACCATTTTATAACGTACATATATCGTATTAGCTTTCAACTATAGGTTGCTATTAATTAGGTTCGTATATAGAAACATTTTTTTATATTTTCAATTAGTGATCAATAGGAGAAAATATCGGTACGAACTCTAATGCAACTTTGACATAATCTTGATCATCTAATATTTAAAATACTGACAATTTATTATTTACACTTAACATTAAATATACATTGCAGTGTATTTTACAAAATATTTATAAAAAGATCTTTGAAAAATATTGACCAAATAAATAGAATTATATATATATTACGAAGTATTTATAATATAAAAATATTATTTTCCAAGGGAAAAATTAAGAGTATAATTTTCTTCGATGTGTAAAAAAATGAAAAAATGAACGAATTAAAAATACGAAAATAACGAATCTTCAATTATGTTAATGACGCCACCAGTCGTCGACTCGACGTGCCAAATTGGCCGTTATCTTTATTGACTGAGGGATCATCGACATGACACGTTTTTCCTAATGGACACGAATCGACGTTGAATGCAGTCGTTAGCCGGAGATAGGAAGGAAGTCGAGGTGTAATTTATTTCTCGCGGGTTGGCCCTTTGAAATTCGAGCGGAGGCAAATCTACTACAAAAATTTACTACAAAAATTTACTACAAAAATCTACTACAAATCTACTACAAAAATCTACTACAAATCTACTACAAGTCTACTACAAATCTACACTACAGCGTTGAAAAGAGAAAACACTTTTTTTTCTTTTTTGATGTTAATAATACCAAGGAAGATATTAGATGAGATAATCGATCGTGTAATTACTCGAATAAGGGTGTGTCAGACAAAAGAATGCAAAGATTGCAGCATAAAAATAGAAAATATTAAAAAGGAAATAATCGAGACTTTATATAATTAATATTGTCTTAAATCGATACTCTGTCATTTGTAATTTTTTTTTTTTTTACAAGAACGACGATTCAATGAGTCGTTCCAATCGTAAAAATCAATGCGAACAAACTAATGCATTAACCCAGATTTATAACAGGTTCTAATCATTCTAAGCGTCCGTGCTTAGTCCGACCTCGAACGAATATCGTGATAATTTAACATCGATAGATGTATGTATATAGAAACATATATGTTATATATAAGATATATAATATAAGAATAAGAACAAACCGATGATCGATCTAGATCAGGGCTTCTTAAACTATGGGTTGCGACCCCAAATGCAATAGCAAAATTCTGGGGTCGCGAGAGATTTTAATGTCAAATATTTATATATATCATTTTATAACATCACTAGAGTTGGCGGAATACAGTGGACTTGCAGCGTCTAGACACGTGCATTTGTTGAAGGTTTTGAGCTATCTCCACCGACAGCAGTAATATTTGTATGGGGTCGTCAAGAAACTCGCAATCATAAATGGGGTCGTCAAGAAACTCGCAATCATAAATGGGGTCGTGAATGACAAAAGTTTAAGAAGCCTTGATCTAGATAGTTCATCTAAATTTCAATTTATTTCATAAATTTTTAACATTCATTTGTATGAAACAATACACACAAGTCCAAATATTTATAATAAGAAATAAATTTGTTTTCTTCTTCGATAATAATTTTGTTCATAATATACATACGAAGGAACGTTAAAAAATCTGAAAAAATCTTCTAGACAGATCGAACAACCTTGGCATACTTTAGCTTCTATGTTGCAGCACATGACTAGGATGCAATGTGTGTAGGTAACGAGTCCCCCACACGTTTATTCGTTCACTCGCTCATATGTACTTATGGTTGTAAAAGTGAGCGCGGAACACGTGGAAGGAGAAGAAGAAGAGTCGATTATGCGAAAAAGTTATATAAGCGTAAACGATTCATAACTCACTCGGTGTAATTCGTACGCATCTTTGAAGAAGCAATGGCGGAGTAGCGTAGATCACATTGACAGATAAGAATAAATTGAACGACCGACAAAATATGTATGAGGCGACGCTAATGAGCGCTTGACGGTGGCACGCTCGTGCCTCGTAACGACGTTTAAATTAGAATCAGCTGAATAAAGAATAGTCACGATGGTAGGGGAAAGAAGAAAAATAAAAGGGGAAAGAAATATAAAGGAAACAAAAATGTGATCTAATGATTTTATTTTTTGTTACCGTGTAAAAAAATTATCAAAGGAAATGTATCTCAATGAAAAGTCTCGTTTACCTGTTCTAAAAACGAAACGCAACAATTCTTTTTTCTTTTCGAAATTTGCTTCTTTTTTTTATTACTTTGTTTTACTTACTGTGTTTTATTTTTGATTGCAGACAAGAAAAACTTCGGAACTCCGTATAGGGAAAATTCGAGGCGATAACTGTGAGCTAATATTCAATGAACTTCACGCATATGAGGCGCTTAATAAGGCGCGTGGGTCGAACCTGACGAAGGCCTTGCTCTCGCCCACTACATTTTTCTTCCTTTCTTTTTCTTTTCTTTCTGTTTTTTCTTTTTTTCTTTTTTTCTCTTTTTTTTCTTGTATTCGTGAAGAACCACAATTATCGATATATGACGTATACCACGAAACTAACCGGTCGTCGCGAGACTCTTTTATTGATTTAGACGAGAGTACTTATTGGCTAAAAAAAAAAAAAAAAGAAGAAAAAAGACATTAGGAAGAAAATATTTCGAATTCGATTTTCTAAATGGAATCGATTCCAAAACTAGTTTCTCTTACGAACGAAGGTAAACGCGAGACATTTATAGATCTGACATTTTATTTGTAAGGATGTCGTCACTCGCTGAATCACGAAACTGTTAGAAAATCGGGAAACGTGTTTTTCTTTCTCCGTGAAATTTATAATCACCGATTGGAAAATATTCTATTCGAACGATTGAGCACGAATATCACCAAATAAAGTATAGCGCGTCTTCGTAATACACAGTTAAGATAACGTGAATCATATGAACGTGTTATGTCTCTTCTTAACGTTTATCCTTGAATAGGCTAAAGTTCTATAAGCGTGCGTCCACCTCGACGTTATTATATTCCACTTTGGCCTTGGTCACAGTAGATAATGCAAATTTACAATCGCTTAAATACACCTGCATATACGATTCAAGATTTATTTTTTAATATTTTTCATAGGTACCATTATTTATAGCCTTTTTCTTTGATTTATTAATGATAAATTTTGTATGAAATAAATGATCTACTTTATGAATATTTTGCTCAGTATAAATGATGATGATTAAGTTTCACTATAAAATCGCATCTTATTTATTGGTTTAAATACCGCCACATCGATAAAAATTTTATTCAATAAAAAAAAAGTAATAATAATGACTATTTATCACCATTATCATACTGACTAATCCAAAATGTTTCCAAATTACTGACACGATAAATACCAGTTCTACATTATTATTATTACTCAAATCTGTTCGCGTACTGTAAAATTATTCTCATTCGCTGAGAAATAACGGAGATAAAGATAAAGATGCAAACGAAATAAAAAAGAAATGTATATAAACGTTCGTGTCTTTCGATGATATTTTTTTTTTCCGAAATTCATTCGCTTTCGTATTTCTCGTTTACGCGAAGGTCGAAGATCGCGAATTAGACGGCGATTTGTCGTTCGGTGTAAATCAAGCGTTATCGTGACATCGTCTATCGTATTGGGAAATAAATATCGTCGGGGTCTTTTATTCGCACGATGGTAGAGGCAACGAGAAACTGCCTGCTGTATTGACTTATATCCATGGCGGGTTGCTGGACAGAAGCGCATTTGTAATCCCGTATTTGGCAAAATCGGACGGCTCCATCCGACGTCGTGCATGAATGCCATTCTTGGCGAATTGCTCAATGCCGAGGCACCGTTTTCCCTTAGAATCTCTAGCTTTGATCTTACTCGAAAAAAAACAAAAGAAAAGATTTACAAACAAACAAAAATGAAGAGAAAACTTTCTAATGTATAATTCTTTAACACAAATTATATATTAGAAAGGTTAGAAATAATTAGAAAGATTCTATATGTTGCACTCCTCGACCAGTTTGAACACTTAATAACAAAATAATGTTAATAACAATAGCTTTCGCAATAAAATTTTTCTATTAGATTTGTTACAAGTACCACCGACGTTTAGACACTATCATATTTTTTTAATACTATTTCTTTTTTACCGTGTTGATACATTACAATCATTGTGCCATTAGTTAAATGCTTTTTATTCATTAGCTTAGAGCCGACCCTAACTGTTAGGTATACATTATGTTATTAGAAAGATATATCATTATTATCATTAAAAGACTATATATAATATATTCGATGTTGAACCTTTTAGGAATAAGAAATATACAAATAAGGAAGAATTTACGGCACAACGATTATACAAATGAAGGCTCATAAAGTGACACCGATTATAATTCTAGCTTTTACTTTTGGAACGGAAATCACGTAATCTTTAACGTCCTTATCGAGGGGAAGACTTTTTCGTAGGAAGCGTGGAAATTGTCACGTTCGCTTAAACCCACCACGAAAAATCATACGTTTAGTATTCACTAACGCGAATTACCTTTCCCCATTGAGAATACCTTCGCGTTTCTTTGATATACGTAGTTCTCACATAATACTTAATGATTATGTCATATTTTTCTTTATTAATGAAGTTTCATTTAAATCGAAGCTTCTTTCTCACGAAACAAAATATATATATATAAAACAAAGAGTATTTATAATTTATACCATAGAAAAACATTGTGTATAAATGGTAGAAAACAAATTATATGCAGCAGGTATTGTATTCAAGATTCTAAAGGCTCGTAAAATACTAACGCCTATCGCGATAGTAGAAAATCTTTTAAACACGAAATATAATAGTATGAAGGAAGAAACGGATAGGCAAGATTTTTGGAGTGAAATCTTTCGATTAAACTACAAGAGTTCAACGAACTTTCAGTGACTTTTCTCTTTTTATTTTTCTCTCTCTCTCTCTCTCTCTCTCTCTCTCTATGTCCTTACGAAGAACGCGTATATGGTAATAAAGCTCCCGGGTGCGTGCTAGGAAATTTAAAATCAGGTAGATACGCCTTCCGGTCCGTTGGTACTACTCCATACGAGAAGTAAAACTTTATTGTTAGCTACTTCTCGAAGAGTACACGAAGGAGTCTAATGCGGATACGCTAGCCTAATGCAATAACGTATTCACCTTATCTCTGAGAAATTTTGTCGGGTCTCCAACGTCGAAAGCATTTTGCATATCCCATGCAGTATCTAGGAGTTCGCCTAACTTATCGCGATATACTGTTACATGAGATAACATTTTCCGAAGACTCGCGGACGATTCCTTTGAAAATTAGTAATGCATGTACATTGTGTATATATAAATACACGAAGTAGACGATAGAAATGGAGAAAGTTTAACATTTTTTACTGATTATGAAAGAAATAATATAAATTACTACAAAATAAAATACTAATTCTTTCCCGATAAATATTATCATACGTGTATCAGCAATAATCAAATAAAACATTTGATAAAAATCGGTAAAATCGAGAAACGAGCAAAACTAATCGATACCAAGTACCATTCTTATCGATATCAGCTTTGCAATAGTTGCAACTGTTTTTTTGCTGTATATATTTATGCACTTAAATATTTAAGTACTCAAACCAATACAAACAATCAAACACTCATGCAAGCATATAGGGAAAAGTAATGCGAGAAAGGCCTTACGTTAAATAGGATTCTGTGTAACGTAAGTTAATGATATGTCTGTTGGTAAGGTGTACCTTCCTTATCGGTGTATTAGAAAATGATTTGGTGAGTAAAGCGGTCAACTAGAAAAGAGGAGGAGATGCAGGCTGCATAGTGTAGCTCGCAATCGGTCGATGACGTAACACGCGAGCGGAGGCGTATATCTCGGCGTCTCAAGTCTCTGCTACTTTAAAAGGAGTACCTTCTCACGGACACGGCAGACGGTAAAATCGGCTTTCACTGTGAAGAAAATCGAGTACGTAAATATATATCCATTCCATCATTGCATCTATGAGTGCATCTATGAGTGCATCTATGAGTGCATCTATGAGTGCATCTATGAGTGCATCTATGAGTGCATCTATACATACGCACATAGATGCATAGATACATACGTACGAAGAGGAATCTCTGAGAAATCGTGCGTATGCTCAAAGCATGACAGTACGAGTTCGCGCTCGCGAGTAACACGATCCGCGCGTGCTACTCCTTGACAATTTCACTATCGATGTCTCCAATCTGTCGGATCGCAAAATAGGCAAGACAGGTATCCTATCCATAAAATACAATGTTTATGTCGATCGTAAGAATAGTCGACGTACCGCGAATACCTACATTTTATCTTCGATAATTTGATTTCTATTTTATCATAGAAAAAAATAACGAGACAAAACAAAATCTAATCTATATAGAAATATCACTTATAATATGTCAAAGTTTCTATCGATTTTTTTTATGTCCCGATTAAAATGAAAATATTACATTTTTTTTCATTTACTATCCAAGTATACCTACATATTGTATATTAGATCATTAAGTATGGCCATGCCGCGCTGACAGCACTAGTTCCCGTTCGATCGCACTTAAAGTCAAGCAACGCTGGGCACGGTTAGTACTTGGATGGGTGAATCGCTTTCAGGAATACCGCGGTTGCGCCGTTGACGCCAAGAAGACTATTCAGCCTAATTAACATCTAGAGAGTTGGTTCCAAGCCCAGATAAAAAAGAGAGGGTTGAGGGTTTGAGGAAGGTGAGGGGAGGAGAGGGGTGGTGAGGCTTGGCAACCTACCCTCGGTAAAAACAATAAATCGCTCCTAGAAATAGCAATAAGAAAAGCTATTATAACAGGACAAAAAGTCCTAGTAAAAAGAGAGGAAGATTAAGTATGAAACGAATACCTTCAAT